AAAAATGCAAAAAACACAAAGACCACAAAAATCTGTGCACACCTGTTGAGTTGCTGTTAGGTGTGTCAAGTCGGTTCTACCTCACAGCGACCCCACGTCCCCCAGAACCAAACACTGCCCCAGGACCACAGGTGCGTTAGACTTGACCACAGTGCTCCAGACACCGTGTCAATCCTTCTCAGCGAAGTTATTCCTCTTTTCCCTGATCCTTTACTTTCCCAAGCACAATGTCCTTCTCCAGGCGCTGATCCTTCCTGAAAACATTCCAAACACACGAGAAGAAATCTTGCCGTCCTTGTCTATAAGCAGCATCTTGGTGGCGCTTCTTTCAAGACAGGTTTGTGGTTTCTTCTGGCAGTCCATGGGATAGCCAACATTCTTTGCCAGCAGCTTAATTCAAATGAATCTGTTCTGTCATCCACAGTCGTCTGGCAGCACCCTTCATGGCAAATGAAGCTATGGGAAATGTCACGGTTTGGGCTAGAGCCACCTTAGTCCTCAAAGTGACATACCTGTAAGAAATGCTAAAAATATTTAAGAGAGAAAGGAAAAGAAAAGCTGAAAACATGGAGTAATCTTTAAAATGAAGAGAACGTGAAGTCTCTCGCATTGCTGGGGAGAGGAGGGGGACATGGGAATGCAAAATTGTACAGCAACTTGAAAAACCAGTTTGGCAAATTCTTATAAAGTTGGACAGGCACTTACCATATGATTCATAATTCCCACTGGGAGCTACTTACCCAAGAGAGATGAAAACTCATGTTCACACAGAAACCTGTGTGTGAATGCTTTATTCAAAAGCACCCCAAACGGGAAACAAGGCAAATGCTCCTCAACTGGGAGATGGATAAATATATTGTGGACATTGGTACCATGGACTGTTCCTCTACAAGAAAAGGAATAAGCCATGGGTACACACAGCAGAATGGGTCAATATCCAATGTATTATATTCAGTGAAAAGAATCCCTCAAATGGGATGATTCCCATTTATATGGCAGCCTGACAAAGGCAAAATTTCAAGGACAGAAGACTGATCAGAGGGCCGGACCAGGAATGGGAGAGGAGCTGTTTACCAAGGGGAAAGAGGAATTACCTGGTGTCGTGGTTATGTGTTGGGCTGCTAACTGCAAGGTCAGCAGTTTGAAACCACCAACCGCTCTGAGGGAGAAAGATGGGACTTTCTACTCCGGTAAAGAGGTCCAGTCCTAGAAACTCACAGGGGCAGTTCTACCTTGTCCAATATGGTCGATATGATTGGCAGTGAGTTTGGGGGGAGGGGTTGTATGTTTTTTGTTTATAGAACTGTTTGAGACCTTGCTTGTCATCCTTTTTACATGACCATGTGTGCTCAGGACCATATGATCAAGGGACTAAGTTAGACTGTATATTAAGTCTATATATAATTGAACAATTATATATTATAACTACCCAGCCTGGCAATATCCACAAATAAATTTAATTTAATTAATCATTGGTTGCATAGTGGGTTATGTGTTAGGTTGCTAATCACAAGGTTAAGGGTTTGAAACCACTAGTTGCTCCAAGGGAGAAATAAATTTAAATTTATTTTAAAAGAATTGTTATGGAAATTCATGTCACACTCTAACCCAGCCATCCATTGGTGTCTTAAGACAGAAAGTTATTCTAATAGCTTTTAAGACTGCATTATCTATCCTCTTTCTAATTCATCTCCTCTTATTTCTCTCCCCCTCCCTCAATGTGTCCAATCCCGCTGCCCCTTCAGTTCCTAGAAAGAAGTCCGGCGGGCTCCGTCCTCAGGGCTGAACGTTGCGCTCCAGTTCCAGCGTCTCTTCCCCAGATGGGACTGGTCTGCTTGCTTCAGTTCTGATTCAGTGTCGCCTTTTCAGTAAGGATTTCTTCAGAACTATGGTAGACCTTTGAGTAATGTTCTCCATGTTACTTTTCACTACGAAACCTACTATGTATTCAACATATTTTATACAGGCAGGAATTCCTGTGCTTCTGTTCCCAGCTATCTTACACGCACTACCACCATGCCGGACAGATAGCAACGCTAGGTAAATATTTGTTGAATGCATGACCTGCGATAGAGAAGAAAGAAACAGCTATGACTTAACCAATGTGCTGCTTCCAACATCTCATCTCTTCTCTGGCGTGGAATACATTGAAACCGATTTCACCCCAATTGTTAATGTGGGCTTTTCTTTTTTTTTTTCTAATTTCACTTTTATGAGAACGCCATAATGAGGAAAAAGCATAATTAAGGATGTGTTCCAAGAAACTATATATCAGCATTCCTCACAGGGGTCCTCAAACTACAGCCCACGGGCCACATGCGCGCCGCCAGGACATTTATCCGGCCTGCAGAGTGTTTTTGCCCCATTTCTTTTTCTACTTCAAAATAAGTTATGTGCAGTGTGCATAGGAATTTGTTCATAGGCTTTTTTTAAACTATAGTCCGGCCCTCCAACAGTCTGAGGGACAATAAACTGGCCCCCTGTTTAAAAAGTTTGAGGATCCCTGCTCTAGAATAAGCATAAATCCTGAGGGAGCCTGTAGATCATTTAGTATAATTTAAAAATGGGACCATGGGCATCACGCAGGCCAGCCTTCATCCTTACCTCCTTCCTCCCAAGCTCAAACCCTCCCTTCCCCACCTCCCACCCCCAACCACTATCATTTGTGTCTGCTTTGTGCATACTGCACACATTTTGCCTATGTATCTGCCTTAGACAATAATGTTACTCACTTTTAGGGCTCTTGAGGTTAAGAATTGTTCAATTATATAACTACCCAGCCTGGCAATATACACAAATAAATTTAATGTTCATTGGTCACATAGTGGGTTATGTGTTAGGTTGCTAATCACAAGGTTAAGGGTTTGAAACCACTAGTTGCTCCAAGGGAGAAAGAGGAGTCTTTCTACTCCTGTGAACACTTGTGACCTCATACATCCTTAAAAGAAGTTCTGCCCTTTCCTATAGGGCTGCTCCAGGTCAGGCTCTGCTTGATGACCCTGAGTTTGGTTTGGCTGTTTTTTATTACTATTATTGAGGAGTTTTTTTAGTGAATTAAATGAGCTGACGGTTGAACTCAATTTGAAATAGGCTTCAAAATTGTGAGTTATCAAATTATCCAGGTATATAGAGATGAATATATTTTGAAAAGCTTTTCAATGACTGCCCTGAACCTAGCTGGAAAAAAATGAGCCTACCGGTTCCCACAAAAATTTATATTTTGGTGATCCAAAGGGGCCATTTCTATGTTCTAAAAGGTTGCTATGAATCAAAATTGACCCAATGGCAGTGTGTGTATGTGTGTGTGTGTGTGTGTCCTGAAACCACAAAAAATGTTCTGGTTACGTATCATAAACAATGTCCCTAGAGTTTTCTTGTCCATCTTCATTTTACTGGGTTTAATCTTCTTAAATGAGGAGGGAGATATTGGGCAGGATCTGGACCAAAAATGAATGGAACAAAAGCATTAATACAAAAGCATGTTAGTTGCAGAGGTTGCTTGTCCTGGAAAAGACTTCCAAAAACACTCAGAAGACTTTAAGCTTTCCGCTCTCCTTTCACCGAGGGAGAGTTCAGTAAGAAGGTGCTTGTTTCAATTACTGAAAGGATGAAAGAGCAACCCCCTTCTAATGAGAGCTTCCTGTTGGGTTTTCACTTTCTACTCTCTGCACTAGTCTGTTTAATCTGCTGTCAAAATGTGATCATGCTCCTCAATGCTCAAAAGCCTGCCAAACAAATCCCTATTTCCTAACCCAAAAAGCCCAGAAACTATGATCAGAAACAACTTGGAGGCACCTAACACACGTGAAGGCTTCTTTCAGTCCACAACCCAGGACCCTACTGGACTCCCCATTGATTCTCCCATGATTCCCCATGATGGGTTCCTCTCTTCCTTTGTTTCATCAGCTCTTTCCTTCTGAAGCATCTACTCCTCGCACCATCAACGCCACGCCTCCTGTTCTCTCAAAGTTTTTCAAGGTCTCCAATCTGATCTGTTCTCGCTTCCCTGAAATACCTGAGAACATATTACCCTTGTGGAACATCCCTGTGTTTTGGCAAGTCTTACCCCCATCTAACTTTATCAAGTCTACAATTAAGCTTTATTCACCCTACATGCTATGGGTAATAGTATACAACCATTTATACACCGTAGATTCGGTGTTTCTTTACTTATAAAGATGACTATCATGATAGATAGCCCTGTTGGTGTAGTGGTTACATGTCGACTGCTAGCCACAAGGCCAGCAGTTCAAAACCACCAGCTGAGGGAGAAAGTCGAGGCTTCCTACTCCCATGAAGAATTACAGTCTGAGAAACTCAAAGGGGTATTCTACCCTGTCCTTAAAGAGTTGCTACGAGTTGTCATCAACAATGACTTTGGTTTGGTTTATAGTTAGAGATATTTTAGAATCACAATAGTCGATCTGCTCAGCTTCTAAAACTCAGCCGAGGCCTCCTCTTGAGATCTTTCCCAGAACCTATTAGAGGCATTGGGAGAAGACAGACATGCCTTGTTTTCAATCTTACTCAAATACATTCCTTAGAACAGAGAGCTTGGGGAAACTCTATTTTAAGAGAATTGGCCTGGGAAAAGGGAGATGGCCTGCACACTGTCACTTGGTTAGTCTGAGATTTGTCAGGAAAGACCAGAAAGTCTGGATCAAGTGGGTTTAAATTTTTCAAGCATTGAATTTCAGTGGTTTTTAAATAACATCATGGAAGGAGGAAGGCAGGCACTGGCTCATTTATGCTCTCTAGTGCAGAAAATGACAGACAAAAGACAGAGGGCAGTTCCCCTGAGAAGAGTGGGCTTCTAGGTGGGACAGGTGTGCTGGAGACAGACATCCCAAACCACACGTATTCTTTGGTAGCTTTTCAATAGCACCGTGTCACCAGATTACTGCCGCTGGCACCTGACTTATACACATGCCCCACGCAGGTCTACAACGCACTTGCTGTAACTTGAACTCCTTAAGAAGTAACACAGGAGATTTAAACCATTCCAAGAGAAGGGTTAGTTCGTTTATTGGCAGCTTTTTACATGTCAAGTTCCAGGTTGTATTAACTACTTGAGCGTTCTAACCAAGGCTTGTAGGCATCCCTGGGTCTGGGAACCAGTAAAGTGCTGGATTACTAACTGAAAGGCTAGTAGGTCAAACCCAGCTAGAGGCAACTCATGAGAAAATGCTGGCAATGTTTTTCAATGAGCCAGAAACCACACAATGATGGTGGGTTCTCTTTTTCTTGATTTGTTTTGCTTTGAATCTACTCTTGAAAGGCCACAGCTTTGAAAACGTTATGGAGTGCAATTCTATGAGACACACGGATGGCCATCAGTCAGAATTAACCACAGGGCAACTGGTTACTGGTCAACCAAGATATAATTTCCCTACTGTATTTTTATTCTGCTTACAGAAGCAAAGCCATAAGGATTTAATCACATTCAAATTTTAAAAGGAGAAACATTAAAAATCAAACGGCTTCCCCCGAAGGCTCACAGTGCTTCTAAGGGCAGCATTCATAGGAGATCATATGACCAGTGCATTCATCGCTCTGTAGCCTGTGATTCTGCCCAGAATTCCTCTTGGGAAAACCTGAGGCTCTCTGTACTAGGGCAGAAGGGACTGATAGGAAAAAAAGGATACTTTTTTCCTTATCTGCTTTTTAAAGGGGTCATGGTGACGCCGTGGTTAAGGAGTTCAGCTGCTGACCTAGAAATCTGGGGCGTGAACACACTTTGAGGAAAAAAGATGTGGCCATCTGATTCTGTAACGATTACCATCTTGGCAAACCTGTGTCCTCGTCCTAGAGTCGCTGTGAGTCAGAATCAACTAGATGGCAATGGGTTTGGTTTTAGGGGAACTCTACCATTTATTTGTATTTTATAAATATTTGGAAGTAATTTACATCTGTAGTATCTGAGTATTAAAAATACAGCTTTGCTTTAACATACAATATAGCTTGATGAGTCATGCATATAGAAAAGAGTTCTAGAAGGGCCAACCTCTGTAATACATAGTCAACACCTGCCCCAAAGGAAAGTGTAATTACAGAACTATAAGGCCAAGTTTAACTTGTGCATAGACCGCAACTGTGTCTTTAAGGCAGTTAAAACATTTATTGTATCTCGGGTTAAAAGGAGATTGACAATGGCATTAAAGAATAAAGTGTAATTTATTTGGGGCTACTTTGTGAAGGCTTCTAACTACAGATGAGCTCACCATACCACGTACAATATGGAATCACACCTCAGACATCAAATCACCTGCAAAATCACATGGCTCTAATCAATGTACAGTGACCAGACTGTCCAAAGAAACCCAAAACACTAGCAATGAATTAAGTTAAGGTGCAGTAACTTTTCTAAAATAAAAGATTAGCACCACGTCCGGATAAAAGGACCTAACCCTATTGGCCTCCCTGCTTTTCATAAAATAACTCCATATGAACAATTTTTTTTAAAGCACAAAGATTAATTTGCAAAACCGGTGCGACCAGAGTTAATGCTGTGTTTTTCTTTTTTGTATCTTCCCTGGCAAGGACAGGAAAAGGCAGGACATGAAAATGTTCCCAGGACATGGAAAGCAAACAGCATTGCGTCTCAGAGACCCAGACGCAGGGCCTTCAGCAGTGAGTCCCGACCGATGCAAAGGTGGACATCTCTCGGCGTATGGTGCTGAAGGGCGAGAGTTCGAGCTCCGTGGTGTACTCGTTGTCGTTGTCGTCACTGGTGGCCGTGGAGGACTTCGGGATGCACTCATCGCAGCAGCAGCAGCAGCACTCCCTAAAGGCCCGGCTGAAGGGTTTGCAAAGACAGAAGAGCAGGACTGGTGTGACGCACGACTTAAAGAACAAAAGGAACTGGCTGATGATACTCAGGAGGTCCATCGTCTGCTGCGAGACGCCCGTGGCCATGTAGGCGGTGACGATGTTGCAGATGTTCTCGGGAATGATGCAAAAGCCGTACAAAATGGTCAGCGCCACCACCGTGCAGTTCATCTGGCTCTCCAGCTGAATCTGCCGCTTGTTCCCACGCGTGCAGGCCTTCTCCGCCTGGCGGATTTTCCGCGCCGTCACCAGCGAGCAGGTGATGGTGAAGAGCGTGGGCAAACAGAAGTAGCAGCCGAAGTACCACCAGAGTCGCGCGCTGTCGTAGGTGAGCGCGAGGACGTAGATGGTGTCCGGCAAATCCGGGGAGACCTTGATCACGCACCGCTGCGCGGGCGCGCGGCCGCCCGGCCCCACGTCCTCCTGGCTCAGCTGGCGCAGGACCACCTCCGGGAGAGCCAGCAGGAGCGCACCCACCCAGATGACGGCGAGCTTGGCGGCGGTGGAGGAACAGTTTTCGATCATCTCGTAGTACATCTGGACGTTCGTGGCGGCGCGGAAGCGGTCTATGCAGAGAGCACACAGGGTGAACGTGGTGACGCCGAGAGAAGTGACCTGTGGGAGGAAAGAGAACACGTTGATTCCGGGTGCTCGGTGCAAGAGCAAACCACCAGAGCAGAAGCACGGAGGGGCCTAACCGTCCACACGGAGAAAGGTCCGTTTCCTGGACCAGACCTGGGAAACAGAGCGAGGGACTTCAGCTGCTTCAGCGACGGGCAGCATAGAGCCCATCTCTGAGGGGCTGGAAAGCTGATCCCTATCCGTGGTTACCCATGTGGGTCAGAGTAGAACAGGGCCTCGTGGTGCCATCAGTGGCTAGGGTTTGTTTTTTTTTGGGGGGGAAGGGGGTTGGTTTTGGAAGTACCCACAACCCCTGGATTATGAACTTACCCTGCTCCTAAATCTCTCTTTGTGTCAAATTGGTTTCAGGCAGAAGAGGTGGGTACAGTGATGTTGGTATCTAGCATTTGTTAATCAAATGCTTGTCTTTGTCGATGGTGTACCTTAGTAGGTGTAAAAGCTATGAAAAACCCTTCTAGACACACTGACATATCTGTAACATAATGAGATACACTAATACAAATGTTCTGATGCCCCAGCACATCGTACCCCACCTTCCCCCTTTTGTCATTATGAACCATGGCTTATACCTTGGATTGTTCATAGGATTTAAGGGGCTTGGTTCCTAACAACAGGTTGTGCCCAAGTTAACGTTTATAACCCAGGGACTGCCTGGGTAAATCACTCAGTCTTTCCTCAAAGACACATCTGTGTGGATTCAAACCTCCAACCTTTCAGGCAGCAGTCAAGCCCATTAGCCATGTGCACCACCCACTGTAAGCACAAGTGCAGTTGGAAGAAAACATTGGGCTAGGAGTCCAACAAGGTTAGAGCTGATATAATCTGGAGTGACCATCACTGCTTTTCCGAGGAGATCTCAGAGATCCCAGAAATTTCAAGCACGGTGAAAGTGGCTGCCACCTGGAGAGCTAGACAGGGGGGAAGTTGAGTGAAGTGAATTCCATCTTCATTCATGAAAAGTATGGTCCTGTTTTCTGGTGCAGGAGTCGGTTCTCTGTCTGACTGAAACACAGCAGGACCAAGAACTCCAAGGGACTAGATGATGAGAGCTCCTTCAATGTCTCCTAGATGCTGAATAAAACCATTGGACATTACTTCCAAATGCATATGCTCATGGAAAACAAGGAAGGGAAATTCTCTGGAGATCAATGTCGTTGGAGATCAAAGCAATTTTTTAAAAGCCAGTGACCTATCTCAGTGCTGTGTGTTTTCCTGAAGGACCCCTGCTAATTCTTGTGAGGAATTCAAGTTAGTTTTAGTTGGAAGGAAAGAGGCTAAGTGACCAGGTACGTAGAGATGGGGGACAAAACTATCACTAGCACAGGAGAGGAGTTGGTCAGATTCCCCTCACGGATTCAGAACTTCCTACACAGTAATATCTTTAAGCGCATAGAGGGAAAAAGTAGAGACAGATGAGAGAGAGTTGCCTCTATTATAGACTTGAGCCTGAATTGGATGAATTTGGGAGATAAATAAAAACAACAAAAGAATAAGCAATTAACCAAGACCCTGAATTTATAAGGTATCAGGGATAGAAATCATACTGTACAGATGGCTTAGAAAACCCCAAAATGAAATTAAAGTTATCCCATGCACCTGGTAGAAGCAAACACAAATTGTCTCTAGAAGAATATATTTACAAATTGGGGATCAGAAAAATCCCACTGATAAAATTTAAGGGAGCATGAATTCATGATCAAAATTATACTATGCAAAAGATGACAAGCGATAGGATGGACTTAACCACTAGAATTAGGTTCAACCTTTGGATCCAGGGAATCTCCTAGACCAAGTGGAATATTTATGGCAAGACACATACAGATCTCAAAAGGACACCCGGGATTTTAAAATAAGGCAAGGGCATTTCCAGATCCCTGAATTCTAGCCTTCTAACCTTTGAGATAATAAATTTCTTCTTATGAAAAACAAAACAACAGTAAACAAAACCCCCAAAACTGCAAGCTACTAAGAGCTTATGTGCCAAAGGAAGCAAGTTACAGAAGCAGACACAGAATAAGTATGTCTATCGTGAAATGAGTGCTTAGCAAATGTAGAATAATTTACTAGATACATTCACAATTTGTGTATTTTTAAAAGGACAAAGAACAGATTACATGAGGGTGAGTCCAAAAGTATTGTTACTAAGGTTCCAGATCTATGTACGTGGGTTTAATCCCAACAAAACCTGTCTCCACAACCGGTGGGCAGCTGCTGACAAGTTTTCTCCCTAATACAATTGTATCAGTTGTTAGGGTTACTACCAAAAAAATGACCCAATTAAAACGACTTCTGAGAGGCCCTGCTGTGCCGGCTCAATTCAAGGCAGAGAGATCTTGCCTGCTCAAATGGCAATCGTGACTGGTCTTGGAATTCCAAAGGAGGAATCTTGATAGAGTTCCTCAAGGGACACAAGATAAACATAGACTTACTTGGAAGACAGTTGAGGAAAATTGAAAACTGTATTGATGAGAAAACGGTCAGGAAAATTGTGCCGAAAATTTTTCTTTTCCCATTACAATAATGCACCAACTCATTCTTGGGAAGTATCAAGAGCTGTTCTGTGAGAACTTCATGGGAAAAGCGTCCTCTATAGATTTGACCTGGCCCTTTCAGACTTTGTTGTTGTTTCTGTTCCCTAACTTAGAGAACATTTCAAAGGAACACAAATTTGTATCCCTTGAGGGTGCCTAAGCTACCGTTTTGACAGGCCACGATTCAGAGTGCAGAACGCTTTGGGGGAAAGGTTAGAGCAAATGGAAACACCACTGTCAGAAATATCTAGACCTAGAAGGAGGCTTGGTCAGTAAACAACAGTTTACATTTTGATAATTTATTTGCATAGAGATTTCTATCTAAATATATAGACCTAGAGGGAGGCTTGGTCAGTAAACAACAGGTTTACATTTTGATAATTTATTTGCATAGAGATTTCTATGATTTTCTAACAATATTTTTTATGTACCCTCATAAGATGCTCCTGAGACTGGAAGAGAAGTTCCTTTGACTCTAGGCTACTCTCACAGCCAAGTGTGGGCGTTCACTCCCCCATCTCCTGGTGTGAATGTCTAGCAATAGGGCAGTAAGGTCATGCCAGGGTAAGTGGGTAAAGAAGGAAAATCAAATATAATTGTCATATCATGGTTTAGAACTCAAAGGGATTGTGTAGGCAGAAGGAAGACCATTTGTCACAACGATTTTAACACCCAAACTATTAGCTGTTTATCTGGGGCCCAACTGTCACACTCCCTAGAACTATGGCAGTTTGTTTCACACATAGATTTTAAGAGAATTAAAAAATTAAATCGTCTCTTCTTCAACAGTCCATGTCAGAATGTGCCTCCCAGTGCTAATACGGAAAATAAGGGCATGGTACCCAGGCATGGCTACTCTCAGGAACGTTAGGTTAAGCCAGTGGTCCTCAACCTTCCTCATGCCGGACCCTTTCATACAGTACCTCATTTGTGGTGACCCCCCCCTCCAACCATAACATTATTTTCATTGCTACTTCATCACTGTCATTTTGCTACTGTGATGAATCAGGCAACCCCTTTGAAAGGGGCATTCCACCCCTATAGGGGTCGCAACCCACAGGTTGAGAACCACTGGTTTAGACAGTCTAGAGATGAGGTCTAATGAGGGCTTAATCGCATGAGAAGCAAAACTTAAGAAACACTATAACTCGTAAAAGTCTCAAGCAGTGCCAATGAAAGGGGTTTGATTGAGCATAAAAACCACAATTCCTGCTCTAATATGTCTTTGGAAAGTCTCCCACAAGAATCTGTGGAAGAAATATTCACATGAATGTTCCAAGAAAGCCATTTCTACCTTCACCTGTTACAAATTACCTTCCAAATTCATGGAATTAGTGGATGGAAATTAGTTCTGCATCTATGGTGGAGACTCAAAATGATTCTAAAATTGAGGTCCACGTTGTGCAGCTGTCATGATTTAATTTTTAAAAACTAATATCAGGGGATGGCAATCCAAACAAGTCTCACCATGGCCTAGAGGTCAATATCAAACGGCAGGGTGTGAAAACCAGGGTGGGTCTTCAAATTTTGGTCTACAGCTCCTTTGTCAACTTCATGTAGTTTTGAAATGACTGGGTTCATTTGACGAGATGAACAAAAGTTCTCCCCCAGGCATGTCCAGCCGCAGCACGGCCTTCCCGTGCAGTTGTCACTGAGCAAATCTCCGTGTGTTCTTCCTTGTCGTTGTACATCCTAAGGCAGTCCGCAGCACAGAGCTGCAATCGTTTCATGCTGTGCGTTCTTTTGCAATGGTAAAGAGCATTTCCATGCAAAGGAAAGCTCACCAGCAGAGACTCTGAAGATGGAAATGTTTCCAGAAGACAGGAACGTCTACAGACTCAAGAGTTTTCCATAGTTCCTTACAAAGAGCACACAGTGCACAAGGAATAACACCGCCTATCTTATTACTCTCCGTCACTTGACATCGTGAGATTGAAGCTCCGGACCAATTATCACTAGCATTTACCTGCGTTACATCAAGTCAACAACAAAGCACTTTGTGAGGGTAATAACAAATGAATGTGGGTGGGTACACATTAGGCAGGAGTGTTCCCTTGCCAGCTACTGAGATGGCCTAGCCAGAGCTGCAAATCCACTCCTAATTAGAAGACCTTCATTTCTTTGAAAGACAAAACCTGAACGCATTTTTTTCAGGTGCTGTATATTTCTTCTCACAAAATAACAAAGGTTGGTTAAAATTTAAACAAGTTGAACATGTGCTCGAACTTCCTGCTCAAGAACTCTTTTACAGCATATTTTTTGTTTGGTCACACGTCCCTTATCATCTAAAAGCTTCAGTTAGAACCTCACGTGTACTTGATGTGTGGCACTTTAATACTTGAAATTTGTCCCTCTTGAAGGAGCCCTGGTAGCACAGTGGGTACGCACTTTGTATGTTTGGCAGTTCGAACCCATCAGCTGCTCAATGAAAGAAAGAAGTGG